GGAGGGCTGGAGGCGGGGGGGGGGGGGGGCTGGAGGGCTGGAGGCTGAGGGGCTGGGGGCTGGACGGGCTGGAGGGGCTGAGGGGCTGGAGGGGCTGGAGGCTGGGGGGGGGGGCTTGTGGGGCTGGAGGGGCTGGAGGCAGGAGGCTGGAGGGGCTGGGAGCCGGGGCTTCGTTTGCGTTCCTCCAGAGAGGCGGCCGGAGCGCCGGATCTACATGCCGCCTAATTCCATCGCCAATTTAATTACGCAGAAAATGTGCTAATGCCGATTTTTAAAGGGAGATACAATTGATTGCGACGGACGGTGGGGCGGGGGTGGCGGGGGTTACTGGGTGGCCTGGAAAAATGCATATTTTAGGGTAGAGCGGCTCGGTACGGTACCGCTAACTGCAACTTCTTGGCGAGAAGTTGTTTTAAAAAAAATTAAAACAGTCCGCTCTTGTTTTAGCGCCCGAGGAAAGCGGGATAGGCAACCCGGGTCGTAGCTGCGCACTGCGACGCTCCGGCTTGCCTACCCGCCGGCCGTCGGGCGGTGAACTTGGAGGGGTGCATTGGGGCCGCGCCGCCGCGCCGCCGCACCCCACCCTGCCGCGATAACAGTGGAGCAGTGCGGCGCAGCGCGCAGCGCGTGGGCCCTGTCGCAGAATCAGTATGCCGGGCACATGCGCCCCGCCCCGCCCCGCCCCGCCCCGCCCCGCCACGCCCCGGCCTCTCGCGGTGGCAAGAAACGCGAACCTGTGGAGCGAAGGGGAACGTACTGAGGTTTTCCATTCCCCCTCTCTCCACCCGTTCGCCACCCCGCCGCCCTCCGACCTTCGCCCGAAAATAGCGAGGGCTCCAGCGAGGCTCCAGCGGGGCGCGGCGGTGCACCGGGCAGCGGCTGCTCCCGATGGAGCCGATAGCAGGCGTAAATACTTGGACCCGATCGGTCGGCTGTGACGTCATCGGCCAGGGTTGCCAACCGTCGGCCGGCGTGTGGGCTTCCACCGCGCTGCCCAGGCCGCACCAGGCCGCGCCATCGACCCGGCCGGGTGGAGCCCCTAACTTGGCCGCGCGCGGCAAAGCTCGGCCCAAATCCCCGGGAGTCAATTTGGTGCCAAGTTGCCTAAAGCGCCCTATCCCTCAAATCGAGATTAGGGACGATTGCGCCGTGCCGTGCTGGGCGGGGTGGGGCGGGGCGGGGTGGGGTGGGGCGGGGCGCGGCGAGCGGCTCAGACCTTTCGCCTCATCAGCGACAAAGAGGAACAAAGCCATTGCACGGCCAGCAACGCGCCGGCACCAAAGCCTGTCGGCTGTTCCAGGCGGTGCAGGCCGTCGAGGTCGACCAGGCCGTCGTCGCGGACGTTGGCACGCACTCACGGACGCACGCACCGCGCCCTGGTCCCTTTGTGGCTAATCCCGGTGGAAATACGCGCGAAGCAGCCGGCCAGTACCCCACCCCAACCCACCGCGCCCGCCCCGCCCCACCCCGCCCCACCCCACCCCCGCCCCGCCGCACACCCACCCCGCCCAGAGAGAGCGCCTGCACTGCCCGCCTTTACGGACGTATTTCTTGGGCCGTGCGGAGCGGTGCGGAGCCCGCCCTTGCTTGCCCGCATCCCTGGGCAGCGTGTGGAGCGAGACCTGCACCTAGTGCCTCATCAGTGGCCCCGTCACAGACAGACAGACAGGCAGGCAGGCAGACAGGATACCGTTACAAGCTTTTTTCCTCCGCGACGCGTAATTACTTTCGATTCATTTTTAATTTTACGTCACGTATAAATAGTAATTTGTGCGCTCTGCTCTCTGTCATTATATTAGTTGTTCTAAGCAGGTGGCCCAGCAGAGAGAGAGAGAGAGAGAGAGAGAGAGAGAGAGAGAGAGAGAAGGGGAGGGGGGAGCTTTCGACATTAAATAGTTTCAGCAGTTTCCTCGGAAGGTGAGCACGCTGTGGGAGGGGATGGGGGCAGCCAGGAAACGCAATGACTCTTGGGTCTGGCGCATAGCCCCGCCCCGGCCCCGCCTCGGCCCCGCCCCAGTTGGAACCCCTTCTCTCTCAACTTTAGAAGGTAAGCCGCGGGACTAAGTAAGTGTTTCGAAGCAGTCGGGGGGATCGGGCGGCGAGCAGAGCGAACAACGTGTGTGTGTGCGTGTGTGTGTGTGTGTGTGTGTGTGTGTGTGTGTGTGGGCGCGCACACACGTGTGCAACCACACACATACATACACACATACTCACACACACACACACGTGCATGGGTGAGAGTGAATTCGGAAACAATCATCCCCAGCGATCCGCAGCTCTGATAAGGTAACGACTCACCCCCCCTTTCCTCGCCCCTGTACGGCAAGCTCCACTGAACTCGAACATTGGCACTGCGTCGCCAGGATTTGGCGCTCATCTGCCCCCAGCCCCCCGAGCCCCGAGCACCGAGCCCCGAGCCCCGAGCCCCGCCTCGGCCCGCCCAACCCCTCCTCTTTAAGATAATAATATGAACGGCGGCCCCGGCCAGTAATGAGAAATTAATACACGTTAATGGATCACGATAAACGCGGTCGGCGAGCAATAAAAATAAATTGGGCACCGCTTTTAAGAAGACCGCTACACCGTGAAACGTGAAGCGCAGTGAGGCTGGTCGATGATCCGACAAGGGTAATGCTGTCCCCCTGCGCTGAAGCTGCCCTCTCAAAAAACGACCAGTTCAATTTGTTATTTCTAGTTACTAACAGAAGCAGCTTTCCATCATCATCGGGGTGCGTCCGATATTGTAATCGACTCGGCTTACACTATAATGCCAGATGCATTGTTTTCCTGCCAGTGTACCGCCGTCGCGACCCGGCCCGGGTTCGAATCCCCGCACTACGTATGATTTGTCTTCCGTTTGTCGGCGCCATTTGTAACCGTCCGCGTGGCCGCGCCGCACCCATATAGAGCCACCATTTTTTTTCCCTTTTCTTTCCGTCAAAAACGAGGGAAAGGGGATAAGAGTGGAAAGAGAAAATGCCTTTTTTGTGTCTGTATTTTTCCAGGTCTTCAGGAATGGCATGACTGGGTAGTGCAGCCGACACGACCGGACTATTTATGGCCATCAGCCAGCCAGCCCGCCAGCCCGCGGGCCCAGTCCAGTCCGGCAGAGTCAGGGGACTGGATGCCATGGGTGGGGCGGCCAATGTGGGGCGTAACGCAGAGCGTGAGAGTGTGGTGCCGAGCGTAGAGCGCACAGCGTGTGACCCCATCAGTGGATTCGTCGTTCAGAGAGCAATCCGTTGGTGGGGTCACACGTTCGGTTCGAGTCCCATTTAGCGACTCTGGAGCTCAAAACGCGTCTTTGGCCGCACTGTGGAGCGTGGTGCCACGAGCGTGAGCGTGCCGCCGGCCATGTTGCGGCATGCACGCTCTGGGACGCCAGCAGCGCAGCAGAGCCACGCCCAACAGCCGAAAGGACGACGCAAGAATCACGCGGGCAGTGCGTAGCGTAGGGCCTCCTTGCAGTGGAGCGTGGCCTGGAACGCAACGCGCGCACGCACCGGGCCACGCCTAGCCGGTGATGAAGACCGCCGTGCACGCGGCGCAGGCTTTACGTCACGCGGTGGAGAAAATGAAAATGAATCTAAAGCTAGTCCCGCCTCCCGGCCCCGCCCCCTTGCTTCCGAGCACTTCCCTTGCCTTCGCGGAAACCCTTTAATTGTGATTGCTTACTGCCGGGCGTTCGGGGCGTTCGGGTGGCCCCGTCAAAGGCACAGGTACTGCCGCGACTCTGGAGCCGGCGTCGCAGCACTGCCAGCGACACTGCCAGCGACACTGCCAGCGACACTGCCAGCGACACAGCAAGAGGGGCATAGAGAGACTGCTTGGGGAACCGGACGAGAAAGACTGCCGGGTGGTGCGGGGAGGAGGCCAGAGAGAGAGGGAGAGAGAGAGAGAGAGAGAGAGAGAGGAGAGAGAGAGAGAGAGAGAGAGAGAGAGAGAGAGAGAGAGCAAAGGGTGCGGGCAGTGGGGTGGTCGCTCGACAGGTGCTGGTCTCTCTGGTCTGTTCAGTTCTGCGGGCCGTGGTCCTCTGACCTGTTACGTTGACACCAGACATCGCGGCACGCTATGAGACCGCGACCTATGGCCTTATGACCTCGATGCCAAACGAGTCTGGAGCGGCAGGCAGGCAGCCCGAAAGACGAGTAGGACAGCCAACTCCGTGGCTCCGCGCGGTGCTACGCAGTGCTACGCGGCGCTGCACAGGCCAAAGGGCCAAAAGGGGAGCGGCTCCAAACTGCCACAGCGAAATTTACTGCCGCCGCTTGCTGCGCTGGCTGCGCCGCTGCGTTTGCTCCCGACTCGACTCCCGGGGGAATTAATTTCTCAAAATGAAAGGCAGGCGGCGCGGCGGGCACGCCCAGCACGCCCAGCACGCCAGCCAGCAACAGCTGCTCCAGGTATATTGCCGTGTGCACAGCCCTACCGCCCTACGGGCCCCGGCTACAGGGTGTTACACGCGCGTCGCGCTGGAACACACAACTTGCCGGCCGGGCGGCAGAAACGGCGTCGCAAAAATTGTTACCGATATTCGAGGCGATGGCTCTATAAATATGAGCTATATCGGGCTTGGGGACCGCTGGGGTGGCGTGCACGTGGCGTGGGGAGGGGGAGGGGAGGGGGCACTCCGGGAGAGAGGCAGCGGGGCGGGGTCAGGCCCGGAGGAGCGCCTTTGCCGACGCCTCCAGACGACCCTCCAGCCATGATCCTCCCCAGCGACACAGCGCAGCGGCGCCACTCCCCGCAGTGCCACCAACGATGCGACACAGTGGGCCAGAAGGCCGGCGGAGGCGGTAAAATACCGGACGCGTTTTGAGCTCCGGAGTCGCTAAATAGGGCTGTAACTGAATGTGTGACCCCCATCAATGGATCGCTCTCCAAACGAGGAATCCATTGGTGGGGTCACACGCTCGGTTTGAGTCCTGCTTAGCGACTCTAAAGCTCAAAACGCGTGTTTCGGCCGCCGGCGACGAGGTGTAACGCAATGAATGACGTACCTGTGTGTCGTTCCACCACATGTGCAGCCGGTAGTTGCGCAGGACGGCCTGGTTCTCGTTGATGTGGTCCACGGCCAGCTTGACGGAGGGCATGACGCCGCGCCCCACGCGCGACTCGGGCACGGAGCGGGCGAAGGGGAAGAAGCCTGCGATGTAGACGTCGTGACGGTCCTTGCCGCCCGTCGACGTGGGCCTCTGCGAGCCGGCCTGCCCCGCCAGCACCGCCACCAGCAGCGCGCCCAGGGCCCAGGCCGCCCTGGAGGCCGCCCCGGAGGACGAGGCCGAGGCCGAGGCCGGCCGGCTCCGCGGACGCCATCGTCGGGGCGTCCTCATGGCCTCCGCCTCACCGCCGCCGTCGGCTGCACCGTCGGCCGGGCCTCATCGTCGTCCTCGCCGCCGCGCCCCGCCACCCCACGAGCCACACGGTCTGCGGCACCGCGCTCGGGGCGGGGCACCGGGAGGGTCTCAGCTCATGGTGCGTCCGACCGCCATGGGCCCTGCAACAACAACAACAACATCAGCAAGTGCAGTGGCTGGCAGTGGCCTTGCAGCGCGGCCCGCACGCACAACGTCGCTCAGTCACCCTCGTTACACAACACGACATTAAGGTAGCTGAGCCGCCAGAAAGTGAACCCTGCGAACCAAGTCATCCGGACCGACGACGTAAACAGAGCAGTATTACATAAACAAGTGACGGTCGTCAGCGGCTGTATTTCTACACCGCAGCTTCCAAAGTTTGGTCCGCGGCCAACGTCGTGCATGAAAAACGGCCGAGGATCGAAATGGGATCCAGCCACTCGCGCCGACAGGCACTTCGCCATCTTCGGGCCAATCCTATCTCTGGTGTGCCTCTCCTCCCTTATGGCGCCCCGAGTGGAGGGCGGAGGTCGCGCCGAGGCCGTGGAGGCCGGCGTCGAGGCCGGCGCGAACGCAGGAAAGTAGTTTCGAGTCGTTGGCGGGCAGTGTAGTGTGAAGATGTGGCGGAGCAGCGCGCCGCCAGAGTTAGGCACATTCCATTCATGGCGCTGCGCGGGCTGCGCGGGCTGGCGACTGTGGCGCCCTCTATCAACATTATCTTGCTGCTCTGGTCATATCGCGCCGCCCGGGCCAGTGTGTCCCAGCGTGCCCCAGTCGCCCCAGTCGGCACAAACAAAACTTTGTGCCGACCATTCAATCCTCCGCGCTGCGCCCTCCGGTCCGGTCCGCGCCCTACACGCGTTGCGCAGCGCGTCAGCGCCGCCTTCTTTTTCCCGCCGCCGGCCATGGAAATGTGCGCAGCAACAAAATCAATAGCAAACAAAAACAAGCCAGTATTTGAACCCACGTCTCTCTCTTCCCCACATCCCTCTCTCTCTCTCTCTCTCTCTCTCTCTCTCTCTCTCTCTCTCTCTCTCTCTCTCTCTCTCTCTCTCTCTCTCTCTCTCTCTCTCTCTCTCTCTCTCTCTCTCTCTCTCTCTCTCTCTCGCTCTCGCTTATTCATGCGGAGCGCCTGCAGGGTAGGCTGGACCGCCGAGAGTCGTCTGGTCGCGCTCTGTCTCCCTCGCACCTACCCAGGACGCCCTGTGCGAGTGCGACAGAGACAGAGCGACGGAGAGGGCTCTCGGAATCAGTCTGCTGTGTCTGCCGGCTGGGTCTGCGTCCCCGGCCCGGCGCTCCACTCAGAGTCAGAGTAGAAATATTATCCGAGCACAACAAGATTTTTTTTGTTTATTTTTCAACGCGGTTCGGTGGTCGATTGCGGATGGTTGTGGTGCCTGTGCCACATGCGGGCTGGCCTGGCCAGGCCGCTCTGGAGGTGGAATCGGGAAAAGGGACACACACAGAGAGAGAGAGAGAGAGAGAGAGAGAGAGAGAGAGAGAGAGAGAGAGAGAGAGATAAACCCAGAGAGGACCCTGCTAAGACGGATTGGGGTTGGAGTGGCGACCAGGAGGTGAAGACGCAGGTGCGCCACCACAAGGAAAAAGGACTTCGGTCCCCATGGACTCCGGATTGAAAAGAAAACCATATTGAAAGCTCCCCGTCGAGGGGCGTCTAGAAGATGCCGGCTTCTAATCGGCATCGGCATGTGCCCCCCCCCCCCCCGCCGAGGAAGCGCTGGCCGGGCAAGACGAGGGTCTGGCCACCCCGCCCCGCGGCGCAGAAGGCCACTACCCTGCCCAGGCCCCGCCTCGCCCCGCCTGGCACGGGGTGGTTGAGTCGAAAGAGTTGGCACGCTGGAGATGGAGGTGGTGATCCCCACGCCCGCCTGATGGGGACTTCCAGGGACTTCCAGGGACTTCCAGGGACTTCCAGGAACCTCCAGTAGGGCCAACCGGGGAGTGGAGGGACAAACAAAGCGGCGCTGTAATCCGATAGCAAGCCGATACCGGGCGGGGCGGGGGGAGCGGGGCGGGGCGGGGCGGGGCGGGGCGGGGGGGCGGGGCGGGGCGGGGCGGGGCGGGGCGGGGCAGGGCGGGGCGGGGCGGCCCAAGACACGGCGGTGTCCACTCGGAGAGGCGTCCGCCCGACACGCTATTTGTACACGGCAAGCGAACCCGAGCCCTCCATGAAAACGGCCCGCTTCGCCCGCTTCGCCTGCTTCGCCCGCCACGCCTGCTTTGACACCGATTCCGCGCTCGCCAGAGAGGCCCGTCCCGTCAGGCCGGAGAGCCATCGGCAGAGAGCGGCACGTCACAGAGCCAAGTCCGAGCGGCCGCCTGCGGTGCCTGGACCGAGGTGGGGCATTAATTCCCCGCCCAGCAGAAAACTCTCTTGTTCTCGCGGCACTCGACCACAATGGTGGGCGCTGGGGTCCGGCATGGTCTGGTCGGGCAGGGCGAAGTGAGACATGGTGCGGTCCGGGCCAGCGGAGCGGAACGCCTGGCCGGGGCGTGGCGGGTATCGGCCAGAACGGGATGTGAGGCGGGGCGGGGGGGGGTGGGGTGGGGCGGGGTGGGGTGCACTGCTTTCTATCCTTTCCTGTCGAGGCGACAGTGTCCGGGCGGCCGCGGCTGGGCCGGCGGTTTGAAAGGGCGAGCGTGTTATTCAAAGCGCTTTCAGTGCGCTACAGCCTCCGCGGGCGGGGCGGGGCGGGGCGGGGCGGGGCGGGCGGGGCGGGGCGGGGCGGAGCGGGGTGGGGCGGGGCGTGGTCTGGGCCGCTGACTTGGAATACCAAATGATATGAAAGCATCGCCGCCTCCAGGGCCGCCCCGCTACCAGGAACAGTAAGCGCATCAAAAGAAACTTGCCAAGTATTCTCGCGCCACGCCGCGCAGCGTTCTGCCGGTGCCGCCTCGCCTAGTCTCGCCGTCCGTCGCTCCCTCCCCCTCATTCACGCCGCGCTTTCGGTGCCGTATGGCCGTGTGGCCAAGTGGGAGGTGGGGAGGGGGGCATCAACCGCCTCTGGGCAGGGTGGGACCCGCTCAACTCCGTGAGTTGGCTACGCAGTTGCAGTTCCGCCAACATAACTACTGTTCAAAAATATTTTGAGAGGCCGTCTTCCTGTTTGTGGATGCCTGACGTACGCTCTTCGAAAATTGCCGCTCCCGACGCCGCATGCGTCTTACGGCCGGGGAATCTCGGGCAGGCAGGCAGTGGACGCGGCGGCTGCGTGGAGGGCACGGGGCCGAGACCGCCCCCTTGCGTTGGGCAAGGAGGGGCCCAAAATAAGTGGATTAAAATCGGTCACGTGCCTGCCTCTCTCTCTCCCTCTCTCTCTCTCTCTCTCTCTCTCTCTCTCTCTCTCTCTCTCTCTCTCTCTCTCTCCTCCTCTCTCCTCTCCTCCCCTCCTCTCTCTCTCTCTCTCTCTCTCTCTCTCTCTATCTCTCTCTCTCTCTATCTCTCTCTCTGTGTGTGTGTGTGTGTGTGCGCGTGTGCTGATTGCAGGGGCATAGCCGCGCCGGGCCTTCAGCCAATTACAATCTCACTTGGCGTCTCCTTTTTGCGTCCCTCTCCGTGTCCCACCGGGCCACACCGCCGCCCGCCGCCGCCCGTTCGAAGGGCATTATTCCAATTGAATCCGACAGTTGGCCTTTATTGTGTTCGGCCAATAATTTTGCAGCCGGTGATTGCCGGTAGGGAATCCGTTCGGTGGTGTGACTAGCGCGAGGGGGAGGGGGGGGGGGGGGTGCAGCGGCACGGCACCGCACGGCCACATGGGCTGCGAGGCCGCAATCCCACGGTAAAGTTGCTTCCCCGCCCCCTTTGAGACCCCCGACACACCACCGCCATCGGCCTGGGGAAGGGGGGGGGGAGCAAGGTTTTCATTAATTGGAAGCGTTCATCGGTGCCGGCGAACGGAAAGTGCAAACCGCCACGTCACCCGAAATAGGATCCTGAAATTTACAAACCAATAAGCGACCGTTCGGGGGAAGCCGGCGCCGCCGCCAGCACACGAGCATAGCAGACTGTGTGTGTGTCTGTGTGTGCGCGCTGTAGTGAGTGTGTGCACGTATAAATGTATGGAAATGTGTGTCGGTGAGTGAGCGTATGTGTGCGTGAATTCAAATGTTCCCGCCCGGTCGGTCGCTCTCGTTGTACTTATGAAGAAAACGGGGGGAGGCGGCGGCGCGGCGCTCGGCGAGCGGCGGCTCTTTTATTATTTAAATCGTTCCCCATTTTTAATTATTTCAATTAAAACGCGCCGCGGTTGAAACGGCAACTGACAAGGGCGAGGTCATCGTTTCCCGCTAAACACGCCCGGCTCCATTCCCTTGCGTTTACACAGCCCCCATGTTGTTTTTTTTTGTCGTTGTTGTTTTTTTATATTTTATTATTTACTATTTTTTTCGCGCCAGAAACCCAACGGCATCGGGAGGGCGTGCGGTGTTTACGTTATACACCGTCCACCGCAAAGCATATTCAATCAGGGTGCGGGCACGGCCGGGGCTCGGCGGCGAGGGTCTGCCCAGCGCCTCATGCAGAATTCGTCATTCAACCAATTTTCTTCGGATCAGAGGTGAGATTACCGTCAGCCCAGCCGCGCGTGAGCACGTGGCGCTCTCTCTCTCTCTCTCTCTCTCTCTTCTCTCTCTCTCTCTCCTCTCTCTCTCTCTCTCTCTCTCACACACACACACACACACTCACATATGCACGCACACACGCGCAGGAATACCACTGCCAGTGCGGCAGGCAGTGTGGTGGCGGCAGGCTGCCCGCAGCTGTCGGGATGTAGGCTGAGCCGCCAGTCTGACACATGTCGAGCGCTATGATGCCCCCCCCCCCTACT